AGCGTTTAGAAGACGTCAAAATGCATCTAGAACATTCTATAGCCTCTAGAAGATATCTAATGTTCTAGAAAGTTCTAGAAGCGTCTAGATGACGTCAAAATGCATCTAAAGACGTCTAAACGCTGCCGGAAGGTTCTAGGAGACGTCAGAATCTTCAGGAAGCGTCTGAATGGTTCTAGAGACATCTAGAAGATTCCGGAAGCTCTTAGAAGATGAAAATGCAGAACGACGGTTGTAGAAGCCTCCAGATGGGTTTGAACTGCTCTAGAGCCTTCTGGGAGGTTCAGACAAAAGCAAATATCTCCAGAAGACGTCTGACGGCTATATAAGGCTTCAGAAGCTTCCAGAAGACGTCAACATGCGCCTGGACGGTTCTGGAAGTTTCTAGATGGGTTTTGATTGTTTCTCTGACAAGGATAATAAAATTCATATTTCTGTGGATTTTCTGACCAGTTTAGGCTCATTTTCAGCCCCCCCCCCAAAAACCCCCCGATTTTTCAGCCATATCCATCGCCGCCTCCGTTGGCTGAACAACAAGCTGGCATCTCATGTGGTGACGCTATCTTATCTTGCAATTTGGCATGGCTATCACCTCGGATACTTCCTTCTCTTCGGCGTCGAATTGGGATGTGTTCAGGCTCAGAATCAGTTGTACGCACTGATTAAAAGGACACCCGGATGGTCGGAGGCCATTGCTCAGCCAATTGCTCGTCCGTTCATCTGGTTGTTTGGAAAGATTGTCATCTCGTATTCCATGGGTTTCGCGTTCTTGATGTTCGGACTCATCAAGACCAAGTATTGGATTGGGGTGAGTATTTCGGAGCTATTTTAGAGGATCTTGGAGGTCTAGAAGGCTTCGGTGGCGTACAGAAGGTTTAGAAGTCTTCCGACGTCTGCTAGAAGGTCCATGGATCCCAAAGCCTCTGAAACTCTTCTAGACCACCCTGATGCCTCCTGACGTCTTCTGGGGAATATAGAAGGTGTTGGACGTCTTCTAGATAGTTCTGAAGCTCCATTTGGACTTTTAAGGCTATCCAGAACGTCTTCTACATGCTTCAAGGAACTTTAAACGTCTTCCATGACGTTTTAGAGCCTCTGGACGCGCTCTAGATTCTTTTAAAGAGGATCGACGTCTTCTAGATGCCTCAGGAGGCTTCGGACGATTTCAGAGTGCTTCTGGGAGCTTTTGACGTCTTCTCGAAGATCCAGAAGCCTCCTGACGTCTTCTAAAAAATTCTGAAGCCTCCTCTGCAGGTCATCTTGAAGGTATAAGAGTCCTCCAACGTCTTTGAAAAGATACAGAAGCCATTGGACGTCTTCTGGAACCTTCTGAAGCTTCCGGACGTGTTCTAAATTCTTCTAAAGTAAATTGACGTCTTCTGGAGGTACTTGACGTCGTCTATAACGTCTATAAGCCTTTTGACGTTTTCTGGAGGGCTCTAACGCCTGTATTTTTATGCTTCAAAATATCGTTGACGTCTTCTAAAAGGTTTTTTTTCTAATCACCTTTTTCAGCCCGTCAAATCGCTCTACTTCATCGGCTTCTTCATCTATTTCGTCTTCTGGCCAATCCTCCACATCGTCCTTCTCCGAGTCTTGCCACGTCATCCAAAGAGACCAGAAGAGGCGGCGAAGACTACTGTCGAAACCAAAAAGGAACTATAATTTATACTGTCCTGTCCCCCATTTTTTCTTTGAATTTGAATTATATTTTTCTAAATTTTGTGATACTCCCCTCCCCGTTAGTAATTCCCTTTCTTTTTTGAATAAATTGCCCATGTTGACCAAAAAATTGATTTTTAACTATTTAATTAGCTCGAAAATTAAAAAAAAATATTTTTAAATCTCAAAAATTCCATCCTCGTTCCTTATCGTTGTCCCTTGCTTCTTGACTTGTTCTCCTTTACTTTTCAGATGCTCCTCGATGTTTTTGCCCTGAAATTTCGAGCTTTAATTTTAGCTGAAGAAAAAAATCCAACTTTGAAATCCTCAAACCAGCCGATATTATCAGCAATGATATGATGATTGTGACATCCGGTACAAGTCACAATAACCACTCCTTTCTCGTATGATGCCTTGGAAAACGTTTTTGGACCCTTAAACCGGCTTTTTAGGACTGAAAGCCTTTTAATCGGCCTACTTGTCGAGATCCACACACTTTACAAGTGTAGGATAAGGATAATTTGGGATCTTGCTTGCCTATTGCAGCTGCTGAAAATCGGGGGACTGTTTGGGAGATGCTTCTGGAAGAAGCTCGGAATAGAGCTGTGAATGTGGAACGGAGCATTTTTCTGAAAAGAATTCCCTAGGCTGTTTCTGAAAGACCCCCATATAGAGGGGCACAGAAAAACTCGAGACCTTCAAAGGTATAATCTTTAAGAAGAACAGAAAAGGATTTGGTTTGTAACAACAATTTATTTGTAATAACAAGAGCGATTGCTATTTAGAAGAAGAATCCGAGAATCTTTCCTCCCAAATGCTTTCTTCTGGCCTCCTCGTGATCCATGATTCCGGCAGAGGTGGTAAGGATGAGGTATCCGAACTGACGGGATGGAAGAAGAGTGTTGGTGTACTTCTCCAAATCGTTAAGACGGATGTTGAGTCTTGGAGAGATGACGGAGGCCTTGTTGAGGCGTCCGGTAAGGTTGACGACGATCTTTCCGGCGCGGTGGTCGTCGACGATCTCGAACTCTCCGATGTATCCGTGCTTCATCATGACGGTCAAGAAGCGGACGATAACCTGAAAATTTGGATTGTGGACTCGATACAAGGGGGGAGGCATGCGATTCTTCTAGAATTGGTTGAGCTGGTTACCTTCGAAATTCAAATCCCGGGAAGATTCCATTGAATCTAACCAAGGGTGTCTCCGTTCAAAATAGAACCGAAAGTTATTCAAAAAACCATTTTCTTTCAATAAATTCTAAATTTTACGGAGAGCCTTGGTCATTTTTTGCGACCGAGGCTGCCAGCTTGACCTATCAATAATTTCATTGAGGAGTTGTTCATATTGAATGGGGGCGGATTCTATACCTTGGAGGCTGGACGGATGAGAACTTGGCGCTTTCCGCGCTTCTCGGCGTTGTTGATGGCGTTGAGCGCATCGGCGAGGACGTTCATGCGAACCATTTCTGCTTTTTTTTACCTGAAAATTTGGGAAAATGAGATGAAAGAGAAAAAGAACTGGAAAAAGATTTCGATGAGCGAAGTTCATTAAAAAGGCGAAAAAAATTTCGAAAATCCCCGAGAATCGTTCCAAACATCGCTTTTAGGGAATTTTCGATGCATAAATAACTAGAATTCACCTCATGTTGTGATTGAAAAACCACAAAAATAGACAAAGTAGGTGGAAATTAATTTCGAAAACCCCCTAGAATCGTTCTACACATCAATTTCGGTGACTTTCCCCGAAAAATAACTGGATTTCACTCAATTTTTCATTAGAAATCACTAAAAATCAAGACAAATCCCAAAAAATTGGGAAAAATCCGACGAAAATCGGAGAAAAAATAGGGAAAATAAATTGCTGGGCCTACTTTTCTCCGCCGCCTGTGCTTTAGCGTTTGATCCTCAGTCAACAAGCAGCGAAATGCGCGGCGGGGCGCGTTTGCACACAAACGCATTTTTTCGAGGGAGTTCGAATTTAGGTTTTTTCATTGATTTTCAGCGGAATTTCGTCATTTTTAGACCTTTCTGGTTAGAAAAAACAGGATTTTTCAATTTTCCAGATTAAAAAACACAAAAATGCGTCGAGTAATCAGTCTAATCGACATGGATTGCTTCTACGCACAGGTCGAACAGCGGGATAAACCCGAATTATGGGGTCAGCCGGTGATTGTAGTGCAACATTCGCGGCAGGGAGTCGAGGGTGGGTAAGAAAATGGCTGGAAATTTTGCTGAAAAATTGTTCTGGAATCTTCTAGAATCCTCGCAGTCAGCTATGAAGCCCGTCCATTCGGTGTAAAGCGTGGAATGTCGGTTGCCGATGCCAAAATCAAGTGTCCACACCTGAATATTTGCCATGTACCGATTGGAGAGTATGCAGACAAGGCGGATATTCAAAAATATCGGTGTGTGGGGTGCTGGGAAAATTCTGGAGCTTTCTGGAGCTGTCTAGAAGCTTCCAGAAGCTCAAAATCCTAGAAATTGAGAGATACCTCGAAAAATGCCTTTAAAAGTATAATTTGACTTTTAAAGTTTGTATAGCGCTTCTAGACCATTCTAGAAGCAAATTTACCATTAAAAAGTCCTTAAAAATGGCTTAAAAAGCTGTTTCAGAAGCTCTAGAAGCTTCTGAAGCCGAAAAAATGCTCATGGAGCTTCCTAGAAGCTTCCAGAACCTAAAAAACACCAAAAATCATAGATACCGCTTCTAGAACATTCTTGAAGCAATTTTTCAATAAAAATGGCATAAAAACCGGCCAAAAGCTGTTTTAGAGAAGTATAATTCGGATTCAAAAATTCATTCTAGAGCATTCCGGAACGGTTTAAAACCAATTTTTCCATAAAAATCCGGCCAAAAGCTGCTTTAGAGGATCTCGAAGCTTCTGAAGCTGAAAAAAGCTTCTGGAGCTTTCTGGAGGCTTCCAGAAACGCTCTCTAAACGTTGTATAGAGCATCTAGAACATTTTAGAATCAAATTTTTCAATAAATATCCTCAAAAACTGCCCGAAGAACCGCTGAAAAGTCGTTCTGGAGCTTTCTAGACGCTTCCAAAACATAAAAGTCGCCAGAAACCCTGAACAATGCCTGTATAAATGTAAAAAATGCATATAGCGCTTCTGGAACATTTTGGAACCTTTTAAATGCAAATTTTCAATGAAAATCTTCAGAAAATACCTTCCAAAACTAAGTTTTTCTCATAATTATGCCTAAAAACTCAAAAATTGTCAAAAAATCCGATTTGTAAGTCCAAAATCGCCCAAAAGCTGTTTTAGGGGTTCTGGAAGCTTCCGGAGCCCAAAAATTGCTTGAAAATCAAGTTTAAGGCCTTGAAACCCATAAAAAAAGCTAAATTTCGCAGAGATGCCAGTGCTGAAGTGTTCCGAGTGCTCAACAATTTCGACTCGACGATAATTGTGGAGAAGGCGTCTGTGGATGAGGCGTTTTTGGATTTAACCGCTTATACCAACCAAAAATTGGAGGAAATTCGGGAAAATGGGCAATTGGAAGAGATTGTTAAGGTAGAAACTGCTGGAAAATCGATTTTTCGGCCTAAAAATTGTGGAAAAATAAGTTTTTTGGCCTAAAAATTGTTGAAAAATTGTTTATTTTAGGTTAAGAATCGCTGAAAAATGAGTTTTTTGGCCTAAAAAGTGCAGAAAAATCGATTTTTTCGGCCTATAAATCGCTGAAAAATGTCTTTTTTGGCCCAAAAATCTCAGAAAAACGTTTTTAGGTGAAAAATCGCTAAAAATGACTTTTTTAAACCAAAAAATTATTGAAAAATGACTTTTTGGGACCAAAAATTGCTTAAAAATCGATTTTTCAAGTCACAGAAAAACGAGTTTTTTAGCCCAAAAATTTCAGAAAAATTGTTTTTTTTAGTTTAAAAATCGCTGAAAAATGACTTTTTTGGCCTAAAAATTGTTGAAAAAAATAGTTGTTTAGGGTACAAATCGCTGAAAAATGAGTTTTTTGTATCAAATATTGCTTAAAAATCGAATTTTCAGCTTAAAAATCGCTAAAAATCTAGAAAAATTTTCCGAAATTTCAAAAAAAAAATTTTTTTTTTTCAGCGACTTTTCAGCTAAAAATCGTCAATATTGGCCTAAAATTATTCAAAAAAATTCAAATTTCCCTGCTTCAGACCTCGCTGGACCAACTACCATCAACCCATTTGGCGAATGGAGAAGACGTCAAGGAGAATGAGCATCTTCGCGAAGAATTTCTTTCCGATTTCATCGAAAGCTCTCGAAATTCCACAGAAAATCTGCTTCTTCTAATCGCGGCGATTACTGTAGAAACGATACGAAAGCGTATTCGTGACGAGACCCAATTCTATTGCTCAGCCGGAGTTGGAAACAATAAAATGATGGCTAAGCTGGTGTGTGCGAGGCATAAACCACGTCAGCAGACACTTATCCCATGGAGGAATTGTCGAGAGATTCTGAGAACGACGCCAATTGGAGATGTGAGAGGATTCGGCGGAAAAATGGGAAATCGCATTCAGGAAATGCTCAATATTACGGTCATTTTGACATTTTGAAGAGTTCAAACCCCGAAAATCGAGTTTCTCGCGAAATTTCATCCTAGAAAATGGCTTTTTGAGACTCAACCCCGGTTTCTTAGCCTAAAACAACGATATTCCGTGTTTACGGACAAAACATAACATTTTACGACAATTTGAATTTTCTGTGTCTTACGGTAGTTTTCCACTGTTCTAACTTCGAAAATCGAATTCCCCGCAAAATTTCAGCCTAGAAATTCCCTTATTTGAGCTTTAAACAACGGTTTCTGGTGTTTACGGACAAAACATAACATTTTACGACAATTTGAATTTTCTGTGTCTTACGGTAGTTTTCCACTGTTCTAACTTCGAAAATCGAATTCCCCGCAAAATTTCAGCCTAGAAATTCCCTTATTTGAGCTTTAAACAACGGTTTCTGGTGTTTACGGACAAAACATCACATTTTACGACATTTTGAATTTTCGATGTCTTACTGTAGTTTTGAAGTCTTTCAATGCGGAAAATCAAATTTCCCGCAAATTTTCACCTCGGGAAGTAACTTTTTTTGATACGGCTACCTCGGTTTTCCGTGTTTACGGACAAAACATCACATTTTACGACAATTTGAGTTTTTGGTATCTTACTGTAATTTTGACAAATTCTAACCCTGAAATTCGAATTTCCCGCAAAACTTCACTCTAGTGAATCGCTTTTTTGAGACCCAAACCCCGGTTTTGGTGTTCACGGACGAAACATCAAACTTTACGACAATTCTAATTTTCTGTGTCTTACTGTATTTTTGAATTGTTCTAATCGAGAAAATTGAATTTCCTGCAAAATTTGACTCTGAAAAGTCGCCGGTTCGAGCTTCATAAACCGATTTTCCGTGTTTACAGACAAAACATCAGATCTTACGACAATTTGAATAGTTGCAAGTTTCTTAGTCTTACGGTAGTTTAGTAGTAGTAATGAGTTCTGACTCCGAAAATCGAAATCCCCGCGAAATTCCACCCAAGAAAGTTGGTTTTTTTGAGGCGAAAATAGCGGTTTTCAGTGTTTGCAGACGAAACATCAAATTTTACGACAATTCGAAAATTTTCGGTTTTACTGTGTTTTTTAACTGTTCTAACTTCGAAAATCGACTTTCTCGCAAAATTTCACTCCTAAAACATTGTTTTTTGAATCTGTAGCTTTAAATTTGGTGGGGTACTGTAACTTGGTGTTTGCGGACCAAACATAGAATCTTACGACACATTGAGATAGAGAGCTGAAATTTGGTTCGGTGGGGTAATTGGGCATGAGAAAATCGATGGAGATTTTAGATTAGCGTGTTTGCGTACCAGACACCGGATTTTACGACACTTTGATTTTTGAGGTTCTAGAAGCTTTTTAGGCTAGAAAAACGCGAGGAATTCGATTTTTGACAATGAAAACATCTAAATTTCTTCCAGCTAATGGGTGAAATTCTGGAATTGGACATTGCATTGCTCATCGAAACGTTTCCGGATCAACACGAGTATTTGAGGGCCGTGGCCGAGGGACTGGATGACGAACCAGTTAGGCCACGGAAGGAATCCTCTTCCATTGCCGTCAGCAAGAATTTCCCGGGGAAAATGGCGATTCGAACGACAGGAGAGCTCAAAAAATGGGTCGGAGGATTGGTGAAAGAGCTGGCGAAACGATTGGGGACGGATCAGGCTGAAAACAAGAGAACTGCTGAAAATCTAGTGTATTCTTTGCTGACAGACGATGGAAAACCACAAAAAACACTGAAAATGACCAGTTACCATCCGGATATCATTTTTGAGCAGGTCTGGACAGCGATTCGCGCATTAAATCGATCGAATTTGGCTAAAAATGAAGGTTAGCAAGGATTTCATGCGCAAATTCGAGTTTCCCATAAAATTCTACTCCGGGAACTTGGTTTTTCGAGATCATAGCGTTGATTTTGAGAATTTTGGGGTACTGTAGCTTGGTGTTTGCAGACAAAACACCATATAATACGACAGTGGGAGCTAGAAGACTGAAATTTGGTACAACGGTATAGTAAGGCATGAGGAGTTCAGAGAAAGACTCAGATTCAAGTTAGTCTTTCTCTTCAGTGAATACCAAACACCGAATCTTACGACATTTCCCGTTTTCTGGCTTCCTGAGCGTTGAAATTCACATTTAGAGCCTAAAATCGAGTTTCTCGCGATATTCTACTTCGGGATTTTTGTCTTTCAAGATCATAGCGTTGATTTTGAGAATTTTGGGGTACTGTAGCTTGGTGTTTGCAGACAAAACACCAAAATTTACGGCTATATGAGCTAAAGACCTGAAATTTGGTATCTTAGGGTAATTGGACATGAGAAGTTCAAAGGAACACATAAAATTTGGGTCGAGACAGTGTTTACGGACCAAACACCGGATTTTACGACAATTTACTTTTTATGGTTTTCTGAGCTCCTGAACTTGATTATTATGCTCAAATTCGAGTTTTCCGCTGAATTCTACCTCCGGAATCTTTTTCCTTAGGATTGTAGCGTGGATTTTGAGAATTTTGGGTTACTGTAGCGTGGTGTTTGCAGACCAAACATCAAATCTTACGACAATGCGAGCTAGAGAGCTGAAATTTGGAATCTGAACATAATGAAGCATGAGGAATTCAGAGAAAACCTCAAATTCGAGTTAGCTTCAGTGTTCACGGACCAAACACCGAATTCTACGAAAATTTCTTTTTCTGGCTTTTTGAGCGTTGGAATTCACATTTAGAGCCTAAAATCGAGTTTCTCGCGAAATTCTACTCCGGGATGTTTGCTTTTTCGAGTTTCTAGCGTTTATTTAGACAGCTTTGGGGTACTGTAGCTTGGCGTTTGCGGACCAAACACCAAATTTCACGACACTTCGAGCTGGAGGGTTAAAATTTGGAACTGTAACATAACAACGTATGAGGAGTTCAAAGAAAAACTCCAATTTGGGACAGCTTCAGTGTTTACGTACGAAACATCACATTTGACGACACTTTCCAATAGAGGCTTGAAATAGGAGTTCTAGGGGTAGAAAGCCATGAGGAGTTCGATTTTCAACGTTTCAGATGGTCCATGGACGCCTCCAGTGCTCAATATCTCGCTATCAGCCAGCCGTTTTCAGCCAGGAATTCCAGCACAGACAAGAGCCATAACCGAGTGGTTGGGAGCGAGAAAACGGGAAAAAGAGGCGAGAAAAAATGCAGTTTATGATCCGAATGATGGAAGAGCTGATGTTATCATTGAGGAGCCACCAGCACCGGTGGTATGCCGAAAAATGCGATTTTCAGCTTCAAAAATGGCTATTTTTCTAGATTCCAGCCTCGAAACCATCCACGTCTGGACCCAAAACGATTCTCGACGGATCTGTGGAATTCATTGTTTTGGATGATTCGGATGAAGACGTTCCAGCACCACAGCCTCTCAAAAAACCCACTGACATTGATTACATTACTGTGGATGGCAAGAAAATCTCGAAACAAGCACTCAGACACTTGCCGCCGGATATTAGAAAGGTTTTTACAGGATTTCCAGTATATTTAGAAAGTTTTAACTATCAAAATCGAGTTCCCATGAAATTCTACCCCTAGAACTATGTTTTTTGAGTTTGTAGAGTTCTTAGGTCTTCGATCGGCGTGTTTGCGTACAAAACACCATATTTGACGACAATTCGCATTTTTTGGGTTTCTGAGCTTTTGAATACAAATGTGGGGTTTAAAATCGAGCTTCCCATGTAATCCTACCTCTGGAACCTTGTTTTTGGGGTTTTTAGCGTCGATTTTGAGTATTTTGGGGGTACTGTTGCCTGGTGTTTGCGGACCAGACACCAAATCTTACGACACTTTGAGCTAGAGCGCTGAAATTTGGAGGGGTGGGGTTTTTCGACATGAGAGTTTCAACGGAACACCTAAATTTAGGGTAGAAGCAGTTTTTACGGACCAAACACCACATTTGACGACAATTCACTTTTATTAGGCTGTAGGATGTTTAAATTCAACTTCTGAGGTTACAATCGAGTTTCTGATAAAATTCTACCTCCAGAACCTTGTATTTTGAGTTTCTAGAGTTGATTTTAGGAGTTTTAGGGTACTGTACCCTGGTGTTTGCGGACCAAACACCGAAGTTTACGACACTTCGAGCTAGAGCTTCGAAAATTGGTGGCTAGGGGTAATCAAGCATGGGAAACTCAAATCTGATGTTAAAATTCGGAAAAAACACCATATTCTACGACAAAATGCACAATTTTCAGCAATACGAACATCGGATTGCTCTCGAGGAAGCACGTGCGCTCAAATCGAAATCCGATGCAAAAATTGGCAATAGAAAACGGACGGGACCAATAAAATCGCCGGTTCAACAAGCGAAAAAACCGAAACCTCTGGAATCGTTCTTCAAGAAAAAAATTTAATTTTTTTGCATTTTTTTTTGTACCATAATCTGAATTTTAAGCCGTTTTTTGAACTATTTTTTTGCATTTTTCTCTTCTTCTGAATTTCAAAAAATTCAAGAATAAAGAATATTCGAAAACATCTGAAAAATTTGATTTTTTTTTAATTCAAAATTTCAAATTTGCGCGTCAATTAAAGTGCATCTCCGCAAACACCAATACTACAGTATGCTACAGTAATCCCCACTCCCCTTCGCGTGAAAAATCTGAAAATCCTGATGTGATCTCCATGTGGAATTTCTGGAATTTTCAGAATTTCCAGACATCAAAATGTGGAATTTCTGAAAATCAAAAATTCAAAAAAAAACTGAGAATCTTTTGTTTTTTTTTGAAATCAGTAGCTGATAACAATGCGGATTACTGTAATCAGTGGGTTTTTTTTCTCATCGTTTTGTCAATACAAATGGTAATTTATTTGAAAAAATTTGAATTCCCGCCAAGCCGGAAAATTTAAAAATTGCATTTTTTGGGATTACTGTAGGATGACAATAGCTGATATTATGACAGTTAGATTCAGCTTGAAAAGACCTTCAAAATGAGTCTAAACACGATTAGATTCCGAAACTTTTTTGGATTACTGTAGGTTTCGTGGTGGGACCTTATTTCTTAAATGGCGAGGTAATATGGGCGTGTATAGGCTCATCTTGAAGCTCTTGACTAGCCAAACCTTAACTAGAAAGGTAAAAACCGAAATTTCGAAAAATAAGCGTGTTATGACTAAAAATTGATATTCCAATAATTTTCGAAAAATCTCATATTGCTCATAACTTGCCAGTGTTCCAACTTTTTTGTTCGAAACTTGAATATACTTTTTCAGTTTGTTATGAGCTTTAAAATGACCCCCAACACGACTAGTTTAGCTGAATTTTGAAAATTGACCTACCATCCGCGACGCAACCGCAACGCGTAGATCAAAACTCATAATTGAGCTAGACTATTCGTGTTTAGGCTCATTTTGAAGCTCTCAATAAGCTGATCAAGAACGTCTGAATTTCAAGCGGAAACGTTTAGAAATAACAAAGTAATGGCCAAAAATAGATATTCCAATAATTTTCGAAAAATCTCAAATTACTCATAGCCAGCCAAACTTCTATTATTTTCAGATGAAATGTAAATATTCATTTTCTACTTGTTCCGTGCTTCAAAATGAGTCTAAACACGACTAGTCCAGCTCAGTTTCCAGTTTTGACCCACCAGCCGCGACGCAACCACAGCGCGTAGGAAACTTGACAATTCCTAAATTTCTGAAAATGCTGAAAATCTCGATATTCTGAAAATTTTAAACTTTCGAAAAATTCGAAATTTCGGACTTTTTCGAATTATGGAATTTTCAGATTTCGTGAATTTCAGAATACAAAAAATTCTGAAGTTTCAGAATTCGAAATTCCAAAAATCTGAAAATTGGAAATTCAGAAAATTCAGAAAATTTGGAAATTCCAAAATTCTGCAATTCTTAAAATCCAAAATTCCAAAAATGCCTAAACTTTTGAAAAATCGAATTTCTTAAAATTCAAAAATCCCTAAAAATTCTGAAACCATTTTTCGGAAATTCGAGGATTACTGTAGGTACAGTAAGCCTGAAGTTTCGAATTTTGTAGAAATTCGAATTTGAACTTTTCGAAAATTCCAAAAATCCTAAAATTTAAAAATTCTGAAAATGTCAAACTTCTGAAACTTCTGAAAAATTTCCAATTTCTAATTTTTTTTGATTCTCGAAATTCTTGAAATTCCAGAATTCTTGAAATTTCGAAAATTTCAAATTTTAGAAAAATTCGAAATTTCTTTAACGACTTTTTCGAATTATGCAGTTTTCAGAATTTCGTGAATTTCAGAATACAAAAAATTCAAAAATTCGAGGATTACTGTAGGTACAGTAAGCCTGAAATTTCGAATTTTGTAGAATTTCCAAAAATCGGAAAATTTAAAAATTCTAAATTTTGATTTCTTTTTTTGAAATTTTAACATTTTCAGCAAGGTTTTCATGATTTCCAAGCCTATTTCCAGGCATTTTAGGTTCAAAAATGGGGATTTTAAGCCGTTTTTCAGTCCGAAACTTCGTATTTTCAAATTTCAGAATGTCAAAAATCTAAATTCGTCAGATTTGGAGAAATGGTTCGACGCAAACATCTCGGAACCCGCGAAAACAATGATTTCGGAAAATTGGAAAAACGAGAAAATCGACCAAATCAAGAAGGAGATCAAAACTTGAACTCTTCTTCTTTTTTTGAATTTTTTTGAAATCCAAAATTTTTTTGGATTACTGTAGTTGCATTGGTCCAATAAACTCGGGAATTTCATATGATTGAAAATCAATAAAAAACTGGGAAAACGAGCAAAAAGAAAGCAAAAAACGGGGTGTGATAAAACTCAACAAGGGAAGGTAACAAAAAAAAAGTGGGCGGAGCTAGAGGGGAAAAAAAGAGGCGGAGCCTAAAAAACAACGAGAAATTTCTAGAATGAACGAACAACAGTACTACTGGGGGTGATAACGAAAAATTGATTATTCTAGGGGAGTGGAGACTTACAGTATGCTATGACATTGTAAAAAAAATTCAAAAAAAAAAATTTTTTTTTGAATATTTGGGCGGGAAAATAATTTTTTTGAAAAATTCAATAATTGGGTTACTGTAGCGAAAAAAACTAAAGAAGATTCCCAAATTTGTACTCTCGAATCGGTTGAAATCCTTGTACAATGTCCGCGTAGACGGGTAGCAGCGAATCGTTGGCGGGAAAATCTGCAAAATTTGAAAAATATTGAATTCTACAGTAACCCTGATACTCCAAAATCTTCAAAAATTGAAAATTTTCACTTTTTGGATAACTATGGATTTTCAAAACTTCGAAAATTCTGGAATCTGAAATTCTAAAAATTTTGAAAAATCTGAAAATTCCGAAAATTTCAAAAATCTCAAAATTTCAAAAAATTGGAAAATGAGTTTTTCTTTTGAAAGGATTACTGTAGATTTTTTGAATTCCAACTTTTTGAACTACAGTAATCCTGAAATCCTTAATTTCTGAATTCTGAAAATTCTAGAATTTAGGAAATTCTGAAAATTTCAAATGACTAATTTTTCGAACGGATTACTGTAGATTTCTCTGATTACTGTAGATTTCTGATTACTGTAGATTTCTAGATTTCTAAAAATTTTTTGAACTACAGTAATCTCGGCATCCCAATTTTTCAAATCTACAGTAATCCATTCTTGTTGTATTTTCGAAAATTCCACTTTTCAAGATTACTGTGGATTTTAAAATCTGAATTGTTTTTTTAATACTTTCGGGATTACTGTAGCTTTTCAAACCTACAGTATTCTACAGTAACCTGAGCTACAGTAATCCTCAGCCTTTGGAATTTCAAGCCTACCGTAATCAACTATAATTGCTAATTTTCTAAAACTACAGTAATCCCGTTTCTCCATAAATTACGGTATATTCAAAATTGAAAACCTACAGTAATCTACAGTAATCAAAAAAATTGGGAAATTTCGGGAAAAGGAACTACAGTAATCGTAGAATCTCAATTTTCCAAATCTACAGTAATCTTGAAACTCGAAAGTTCCCTTTTTTTCAGGTTACTGTATATTTTTTTTTGTTTTTGAAACTTTCGAGATTACTGTAGATTTTGTAAGCTACAGTATTCTACAGTAACCTGAGCTACAGTAATCCTCAGCCTTTGGAATTTCAAGCCTACCGTAATCAACTATAATTGCTAATTTTCTAAAACTACAGTAATCCCGTTTCTCCATAAATTACGGTATATTCAAAATTGAAAACCTACAGTAATCTACAGTAATCAAAAAAATTGGGAAATTTCGGGAAAAGGAACTACAGTAATCGTAGAATCTCAATTTTCCAAATCTACAGTAATCTTGAAACTCGAAAGTTCCCTTTTTTTCAGGTTACTGTATATTTTTTTTTGTTTTTGAAACTTTCGAGATTACTGTAGATTTTGTAAGCTACAGTATTCTACAGTTACCTGAGCTACAGTAATCCTCAGCCTTTGAAATTTCAAACCTACAAAACTACAGTAATCTAGTTTCTCCATAACTTACTGTAACCCAAACTTCAAAAATTGAAAGTTCTATAAAACTCTACAGTAATCTAGAAATACAGAAAATTTCAAAAAATTGAAGATTACAGTAACCTTCAAAACTTGTAAATTTTTTGGAAAATCTGGAAATACAGTAAGCCTGGAATCTCAAATTTCCAAATCTACAGTAATCCTTACTTGAAGAAAAAAAAGAAAATTACAGTATCCCTCATTGTGAGCTACAGTAACCCGGAAACACCCGATTTTGCTCATTTTTGGGCATTTTTGAAGCAATTTTCAGTGATTTTTAAACATTTTTTGCCGATCTGGAGATTCCTGAGCTACAGTAACCTAAAAAAAAAGAAATTTTCTTCTCAATTTTCAGATCAAATGACTCAAATTTACACGTTCATTTGCTCATTTTTTCAGTATTTTCAGCCGAAAAAAACTCACCAGAATCCTTCAAAAACGAGTGTGACAGCGTGTGATAGTACTCTCGACACGCATCATCATAACTCAACTGATAACAAGGCTGAGCAATCGGAAAAACCCGCGATTTTAAGACTTTTTTCGTCGAAATCTGCGGTTTTCGAGACGCTGATTGAATTGCCGTTTTCAGGATTCGTTTCGGAGGACAATTCGTCGCTTTTTCCACCAATTTCTGTATAATTTTGGGCGTTTCCACTGATTTAGGGGCTTCCAACACGCGAAATTCAAATTCCGGACCGTTTTCTGGCTGTTTTGGGTCGGTTTTGACGATTAAAAATGGAATTTCAGATTGGATTTGGCTGGAAGACGATGATGATGATGGTTGTTGTTGTTGTTGTTGATGGGCGGTGCATCGTGGTGGTGATGGAGGGCTGGAAAATGTGAAAAATTAGAAAAAAAGGCGGGTTTCTAGGCCACAAAGCTCTTTCCTATGACTTTTATCAGTTTTTAGACGATTTTGAGCTATTTTTGACACACATTTTCAGTTGAAAATCAACCAAAAACGCGAATTTTTGAAGAGTTGGGTGGCCTAGATTTGGTTTTCTAGGCCACTATGCCGTTTTCCAGCATTTTCAGACTAAAAAACAGTTTTGAATGCAATTTTTAACACAAAAAGCTAGATTTTAGACTGAAATTCGTTCTTGGTGGCCTAGGTTGGGATTTCTAGGCCACCAACTGTATTTTAGCCTGTTTCGGGTTATTTTTTGTCGAATTTCAAAGTTTTAAGCTTAAGCAATGGTCCTGAAATCTAATTTTTGCATCAAAAAGCTATATTCCCGACTTGAATTTGGTTCTAATGGCCTAGGTTTGGGTTTCTAGGCCACTATCTGGTTTTGGGCTGTTTTCTGATGTTTTCTAGCTGATTTCTAGCATTTTCAGTTTTAAAAACGGTCCAAATCATCATTTTTGGCACAAAAAACAAGATTTTAAGTTGAAATTCTTCCTAAGTGGCCTAGGTTTGGATTTCTAGGCCACTAGATAATTTTAGGCTGTCTTCTCTCTTTTTTCCAACATTTTCAGCTTAAAATTTGCTCCGAAAGCCATTTTTATGAACAAAAACCAGACTTTAAGTCAAAATTCGTTTTTTGTGGCCTAGATTTGGATTTCTAGGCCACCAACTGTATTTTAGGCTGTTTCGGGCCATTTTTGAAGGTTTTAGGCTGGAAAAATGGCTTCAAAAGCCAATTTTTGATACAGTTAGCTCGAAAATCAGTCAGAAACGCTATTTCTGTCACAAAATCAACTTTGATGGCCTAGGTTTGGTTTCCTAGGCCACCAACCGTAGTTTAGGCTATTTTGGGTCATTTTTAGCCGATTTTCAAGGTTTTATACTTGAAAAATGGCTTTGAAACCCTATTTTTGTCTCCAAACGCCAAGAATTACAGCAGATACAGCTCAAAATGACCCAAAAGTAATTTATTTGGGTTCAAAATCAAAATCTCACCAAATTCTGGAGTTAATCATATGTCCCTCTTTGCGCCACGACTTCATTCGTCCTTTGATCGCTTGGCTATAGGAATTCCCGGTCTTTGTGGCTGGTTTCAGATCCAAAACCTTGGCAATCGCCTTGCAATCTGAAATTTTCAGCATTTTCCGTGATTTTCAGCTGGAAATCTCACTATTCCGTCTCTCTAACATTGGCGCCGGCTCTTTCTTATGTGGACTTGAGCTTTTTGCCTGAAAAAAAACAACTTTTTGCTGAAATTTCGAATATAAATGTTCTCTTACTGTACTATTCTCTTTTCCAATGAATTTCTCGCGTTGCGACGGTTTTAGGCCATTCCAAAGCTGTTCTATCTAAAAAACAGGAATTTTTTACCTAGGAAAGTGCCGAGAATAGTCTAGAAATCCTTACTTTTAAATTTAATTCCTCTGTATTTGTGTTCTGACCATCTTTTCCATAGATTTTGCGCATTTTTTCCACAAAAATCGCTTTTTCATCGCTAAAATCATTGCATAATTGCTCGTAACACAATTTTAGAGGGCCTAATTACCCAGAAATAGCTAATCCAGGCGGTGAAACCGATCCGGAGTCGTTTCTCCCATCGGAGCCTCGTATTCGAACCATTTTGACGGTTTCCGGTCGCATTTAGTCCTAAAAAATTGAATTTTTTGTAAAAATTAGATTAAAATCTGGAAAAACCATGAATTTAGACAGAAAATAGGTCGGAATTAATGAATTTTCTATCAACTACGACACTCCGCTATCCCGCCCGCGCATTGTTTAGCGGGGGCGGGATAGCGGAGCATCGTTGCGAATCTCTAATATTTGAAATTTGAACCCCGCTAAAATGGAGTTTCAGCGCGAAAAAGCACAAAATTTCCAGATTTTCTGAAATTTTTCCAGTTTTGTACATTTTTCCCATGGAATTAAGCTGTTTTTGAGTATTTTAACATGGAAAAATCTGGTCTAAACCCCCAAAAACCCATAAAATCGATTTTTTCAGACAATGAAGCCAAAAAAGGCGCTGAAACGGTCAGATTCGTCGGCGACAGTGAGTTTTTTGGGTTTTTATTTGATTCAAATGATTTTCCCCATTTTCAGAGCGACACAGAATTCGAAACTCCCGCTCAAAAGTTGGTTTTTCGGCGATTTTCAAAAAAAAAATATTTTTAAAAAATTCTTAAATTTTTTCCAGAGTGTCTCCAGCAAAGCCAAAAGCCAAAAGAGGTCCGAAACCCGGGAAAAATGCGAAAAATAAGCCGAAACGGGGGAGAAGAAAGAAAAAAGACGAGGAATTTCGGATATTCTTCCCACCTCCCCGGATAAATCCCCCGATGAAGACACCGTTTCGATTGCATAACACGAAATGTCATCATGTTGATTATATTACTAGTGAGTGTTTGCAAAAATTTGGAAAAAAGTGTTAAAATCTGAAAAAATTCAAATTTTCATAAAAAATCAATATTTCAAAAGCTTCAAATTTGAAATTTGGGTATTTAAGACTCAAAAAATCTGAATTTTCGGGTTGAAAAAACTCGTAGAAAGCAAAAATATTGATTAAAAATCCTCAAAATACAAAAAATATGCTTCCAGCTGAAATCAGCTGAGGATTGCTGAAATTTTGAGTTTCTAGGACTAAAAAATTCATTTTTTCGAAGGAAAATCCATAGAAATATCGGATTTTTCAGCTAAAAAAATCTGAAAAATCCATTTTCAATTTTTCACATTGAAATTGCTCGGAATTTTTGAAATTTCAGCTCAAAACTTTGAGTTTTTGCCTTCAAAAACTAGAAAAATACAATTTTTAGGTTAAAAATCGCTGAAAAAATCCAAATTTTCAAATTTTCGCTGAATTTTTACCTTCAAAACTATGAAAAATACCATTTTTCAGCACTAAAATCTATCCAAATCTATAATTTTGAGCTCGAAAATCGCTGAAATTTTCAAAAAAAGTGTTTTAAAACAAAAAAAAATATTTTTAAAATTGAATTTTTGGCTTCAAAAACTTGAAAAATACAATTTTTTGGACCTAAAATCGCTGAAAATCCCCGATTTTCAGCGATTTTTTTTTGAATTTTTGGCTTCAAATCTAAGAAAAACTCCTATTTTTGGGGTCAAAAATGGTGAAAATCCTATTTCCAAAGCCTAAAATATCTCAAAATCTCAATTTTTGACTTTAAAAACTATATAAATATCAGATTTTGGGCCAAAAATTCATGAAAATTCTAAATTTTCAGCGCTGAAATCTCTGAGAATCTCAATTTCTGGCTCAAAAAAAAACGATGAAATTTACCATTTTCTAAGCTGAAAATCTCTGAAAATCCCCATTTTTTGGCTCTAAAACCCTCAAAAATGCCCAATTTTGTTGCAGAAAACCTGGAATTACCCAAGTATGCATCATATCAAGTCGGATGGCGTGTCTCCCAACGAGCAATGCGTTCCATCGTACTCATCGATCAGAAAAGAGCCGAATTTTTGAGAATTTTCGGTCTACTCAAAGAGAAATCTGTTAAAAAGGCGGTTTTTGAAACGACAAGACAAGGCGTCGCTTCGATGAGTCGAATGCCAAAAAATTGGAATGGAGAGGTGGATTTGGAGGATTTCCAGCTGAAAAATGAGGTATTTTGTGGGGAAAAAAGCGGGAAAAGTCAATAAAAATGAGCCAAAAATCATGAAAATTGAGCCGAAAATCATAAAAAATTAGCAGAAAACTCTGAAAATTGAGCCGAAAATTATGAAAAATGAGCTAAAAAGCATGAAAATAAGCCAAAAATCATGAAAAATGGACCAAAAATAATGAAAATTGAGCCAAAAATCAAGAAAATTGAGCCAAAAATCATGGAAAATGGACCAAAAAGCATGAAAATTGAGCTAAAAATCATGAAAATTGAGCCAAAAATCATGAAAATTGAGCTTGAAATTTGAAAAATTGAGTCAGAAATCATGAAAAACGGACAAAAATGAGCAAAAACAGAGTTTTTTTTGGGTTACTGTAGCTCTGGGTTACTGTAGATCTTCAAACTTTGAAGTTTTTGGATTCCAATATTACTGTAGATTTTGTTAAAGGGTTTTTTAAATTCTCGGATTACTGTAGTTTTTTAAAATTCGGAAATCTTGGAATCTCAGGATTACTGTAGATTTGGGCTAGTTGAGATTCCAGGATTACGGTAGTTAAAAAACAAGCGCGATTTCGAAAATCTACAGTAATCCTGAAAATAGAATTTTCGAATTTTCGAAATCTCGAGGATTACTGTAGCTTTTTTTGTAGAAATTCCTAATTTCGAGGATTACTGTAGCTTAAAATTACTGTAGATCATTGTATTTCTCGAGTTTCAGAACTTTAGCGTTTTCAGGATTACTGTAGGTTTGGAAAATTGAGATTCTCGGATTACTGTAGATTTTTGTAGAGCTTTATAATTTTTGGGTTAATGTAGGATTACTGTAGTTTTTCAAATTTTGACATTTTTGGTTTCCGGATTACTGTAGTTTTTTTTCCACAGTTTTAGACCTACTGTAACTACAGTAGTCCAGAAAAATGAAAATTCCAAAACCAAAACAAGAATGGATTACTGTAGATTATTGTAGATTTTCAATTTTTCCGACTTTGAATTTCAAGATTACTGTAGATCCTTCAAATTTCGAAAATTGGAAAAATGACATTCCACGATTTTTTTTTTTTACTGTAGATCCTTTTTGTAAATCTGAAATTTTCTGACGACTGAGGATTACTGTAGTTTCTGACTGTAACTACAGTAATCCCGCAATATCAAAAAATTTAACTACAGTATTCCTTTAAAAAATAGAATTATCGCATTTTTCAAAGGATTACTGTAGATTATTGTAGCTTTTCAATTTTTTCGAAATTCCACCCTTTCAGGATTACTGTAATTTCCAATTTTTCGAAATTTTGATATTTCAAGATTACTGTAGTTTTTTTTTGTAAATCTGAAATTCTGAAAACTGAGGATTACTGTAGTTTTTAATTTTTTTTCCAATTTCCATAACTACAGTAATCCTTTCAAAAAAAAAAAGGAATTTTCAAAGTTTAAATTTTAAATGGATTACTGTAGATTACTGTCGCTTTCTTAATTTTTCAATTTTTCGATCCCAGGAATACTGTAGATTTTCGAATTTAAAAAAGTCTACAGTAATCCTTTCAAAAATAGACAGAAATTGAGATTCTAAGATTACTGTAGTTTCTTTTTTCTTTTAAATTTCACCCAAGTTTTCCAAATTTTCAGGTTACTGTAGTTCAAAAAATTCGAATTCAAAAAAGAATGGAATTTTTCATAGGGTTACTGTAGATTTTTCCAGTTTTTAATCTTCAGGATTACTGTAATTTTCCCTAAATTTTTCAGCCAATCGAATCCACCTTCATCCCAACGGAACCCATCAATCAAAACCGGCCAGAAACCCTCGAAATCCCCAAAAATCGTCCAAAAATATCGAAAAAACGAGCAATTCTCACAGTAACCCACCAAAAATCGTCTCGAAAACCGAAAAAACGGCGATTCCGACGTCTTCCACGGACCAAAAATCACCGAATGATTGATTTTTGTCGATCGCGCAACTCGAAAATTCGAATTTCGCGCCGAATTCGTTTGGATGAAAAGCTGCGACGAATTCGGCCGCGAATTCGAATTCTTCGCAAAAATTTGATCCGGAAATTCGAGTGCCACGTGGATTTGAGCAATTGGAAGATGTGGATTTGGAGACAGAAGCTGGAGGAGAATAGGACCAAATTACAGTGGAAAAGTAAGGGTTTTTGAGGGTTTTTAACATAAAAACCCCAGAAAAAAATCAAGAAATTCAACCTAAAATTCTAAAAATCGCAAAAAATCTGAAATTTTTGCCATTTGAAAATCATGAAAAAATAACATTATTGATCCGAAAATTCTGAAAATTCATACAAAATCGATAATTTTGACCCTAAGTACCTTAAAAATCACTATATTTGGCTCGGAAAATCTGAAAATCTTGAATTTTTGACCTGAAAAATAATTATTGGCTTAAAATTTCTCTAAAAACATTTAAAATCTAGAAAAAACTTTTAATTTTTGAGCTAAAAATGTCTGAAAATTGTGAATTTTAGGCTTAAAAATCCATTAAAAATCTGAAAATCCGACCTAGAACTCTGAAAATCGCAGAATTTCAGCCAAAAAAAAAAAAGGAAAATCTGAAATTTTTTTAAATTTCTGGCTGAAAATCTTGAAAATCTAAAATTTCTGGCTGAAAATCTTGAAAATCTAAAATTTCTGGCTGAAAATCTTGAAAATCTAAAATTTCTGGCTGAAAATCTTGAAAATCTAAAATTTCTGGCTGAAAATTTTGAAAATCTAAAATTTGTGACCTGAAAAAATCAAAAATCTGAAAATTCGTGAAAATTGTTATTTTGGACCGCAAAAATCGAAAAAAAAAACACCGACCTAAAACTCTGAAAATCGCAATATTTCTGGCTGAAAATCTTGAAGATCTAAAAATTTAGCCTGAAAATTCATAAAAATCGATAACTTTGACCCAAAAAATCTTTAAAAATCTGAAAATTAGACTCCCTAAAAACCAGAAAATTCTGGATTACTGTAGACCTGAAAATGCGATTTTTCTAACTGAAAGTTGCCAATTTTAAGCCAATAATCATTAAAAAT